TAGAGGTAAACAAAATTCTTCTTCTCTAATGTGATGAATCTCCCCCTGAGAAGAAGAAGGGGTGACTCCCCCTGAATAGAAAGGTTCGGACTCCCTAAAGGATACTTCAAGTGTGACATGCATTTTGTGGGTTTGAGGGTCAAAGCAACGGTATCCTTTTTGGACATCGGAATAGCCGACAAAGATGCATTTTTTAGCACAAGGATCAAGCTTTCCGCGTAGTTTTTTTGGAACATGAACATAGGCAGTACAACCAAAAACTCGAGGTTCAAGATTCATTACATGAGGAATGGAAAAAAAAAGTTTCAAGCTTCTGTTGAGGGGTGAGAAAACCTAAAACACTAGAAGGGGTGCGATTTATAAGATAGGCCGCAAAGAGGACTGCCTCACCCCAATAATGAGAAGGGACATTTGTCAAATAATGAAGCCCGTACTACCTCCAACAATTGTCTGTTTTTCCTCTCAGCTAGTCCATTTTGCTGAGGTGTATACGTACAGGAGGTTTGGTGTTTTATCCCTTTCAATTATGTGTAATTACATATCAAATAAATTTATATTTATATATTATATTTAAAGTAATATTTTAAAATGATACTTTTCATATGTCACTCTATATAATATGTATATATATAACATTTATTAATAATGATAATTGCATTATAATCACAACCCAAGTGGCAATGCAAATATAATATTCTACGTGATAAATCTTTTAGCTTAATGATCACAAAGTCTGTTGTAAGACACAAGATCAAGTTGGTATTCGTAATGTATATGTTAAAACTATATTTGATTAGAGCAGTGACGCCCGTGTGTGTAAATTAGAATGCATGCAAATATCTCTTATTTTCTTTCTATATTTCTTTCATTGTTACATATTATATTTATCAACATTTTTTATATTTCTTTTTGTTTTATTTACAAAATAACCTTTTCCCCTCTTCTCTATAGAAATAAGATAATCAAAGTCTTTATTCTATAGTTCAGATCTAGATTAGGATCAACTGCAGTTTATAAGTAACTGCACGGTCATGCAATTTAAAATTTATTGGTGTAGATATTTTTTAACTCACAATAATTTAATACTTTAATATATATATTTAATACTGCAAGGGTCTATTCATTGATGGACGGTGGACAGAAGAAACTATGGAGGTGAAAGGGCATGTGACACATTTTTTTCAAAACAGATTTCAGGAACACGGATATCATAGACCAACACTAGATGGAGTCCAATTTAAATCAATTTCTGAAGCTCAGAATGAGATGCTTGCTGCACCTTTTGAAGAAGATGAGATTCGTAATGCAGTCTGGGAGTGTGGTAGCTCGAAATGCCCAGGGCCTGACGTATTTAACTTTAAATTCATAAAAGCATTCTGGGAGACCCTTAACGTAGACATTTGTCGTTTCATGAGTGAATTTCATGCTAATGGGAAATTCCCAAGAGGATCTAATTCTACTTTTATTAGTCTTATACCAAAGAAAGCCAACCCCCAGAATTTGGAAGACTATAGACCCATTTCTTTGGTTGGATGCATGTATAAGATATTATCCAAAGTCCTTGCAAACAGAATTAAGAGAGTGTTGCTGTCAATCATTGATGAGCGACAAAGTGCTTTTCTTGAAGGGAGGTTAATGCTCCATAGTGTTTTGGTGGTGAATGAGACTATAGATGAGACAAAAAGATGCAAGAAACCCATGTTATTCTTTAAAGTGGATTTTGAGAAGGCCTACGACTCTGTGTGTTGGGACTATCTTCTATACATGCTTCATCGAATGGGATTTAATGATAAATGGGTAAGGTGGATTGAAGAATGCCTAAGAACATCAAGAGTATCTGTACTTGTCAACGGAAGCCCCGCAGAAGAATTCCCACTTAAGCGTGGACTTAGACAAGGTGATCCTTTAGCACCTTTTCTATTTACGGTGGTTGCAGAGGGATTGACTGGATTGATGCGAGAAGCAGAGAAATGCAAAATATTTACAGGGGTGAGTGTCGGTAAAGAGCAAGTCAAGATCAGTATTACACAGTATGCTGATGACACCATGTTTTTCGGTGAGGCTAGCCAAGAGAATGTCATTGCCATAAAAGGTCTTTTAAGATGCTTTGAGCTTGTTTCTGGACTGAAGGTTAATTTTTCTAAGAGTAAGTTTAGTGCTATTGGGATTGATATACCTCTAGCTGAGAGCTATGCACACTTATTAAATTGCACTTTACTACAGATACCTTTCTGCTATCTTGGCTTGCCCATTGGCGCAAATCCAAGAAAGAAGGCAACGTGGGAACCCATTCTTGTTAAACTAAGGAAGAAGGGTAAAGTGTTGTCTATGGCAGGGAGGGTGTGTTTGGTGAACTCATTATTAACAGCGTTACCACTATATTATATTTCATTCTTCAGAGTTCCTAGGTCGGTTAGTAGAGAGATAATTTCAATACAAAGGAAATTCTTATGGGGATGCAGCGATGGCCAACGGAAAGTATCTTGGATTAGCTGGGACAAGGTGACTCTTCCCAAAGCACAGGGAGGGTTGGGTGTGAAAAATGTCACTTTATTCAATACAGCGATGTTGGCCAAATGGAGATGGACCCTATTCCATCTTCCTTCATCTGTTTGGAGCCAAGTTTTATTGTCTAAATATGGCGGTGGAAGCAATCTGTGTGCTCAAAACCCTTCCAACTAAGAGTCTATTTGGTGGAGAGATTTACTTATAGTGTGTGGGGGAGACGAGGAAGGCAACTGGTTTGATAAGATGATAGAATGGCGAGTAGGGGAGGGGTCTAGAGTGAGATTGTGGCTTGACAAATGGGCTGGTACAACGAGTCTTGCAGTAGCCTATCCGAGACTTTTTATTAATTCTACCCATCAACATTCTTCAATTGTAGAGTTGGGTTCATGGACAGAGCAAGGATGGGAATGACACCTCAGTTGGAAAAGGAATAGATTTGCATGGGAAGCTTCACTGGAGGAACAATTATATCAGACAATAAGGGGTATCAATTTCCATATAGCAGTACAGGATTCATGGAGGTGGTTAGGTGATTCTTCGGGAGAGTTCTCTATTAGGTCGGCGTATAAAGCTTTAATTGCTGAATATGCTAGTGCCGAGAATGATGAAGTCTCCAATAGTATTTGGTTAACCCCAGTACCTCCAAAGGTTCAAATGTGTGTCTGGAGAATGGTAAACAACGGTCTTCCATCAGTGGATAATCTGGCAAGAAGATACATAACACTCGGCGAACAACAGTCCTTGTGTCAATTTTGTAATGGTGTAGCTGAAACCTCTAACCATATTTTTTGTACATGCCCTGAGGTGGACAAGATATGGAAACAATGTTTGTCTTGGATCAAGTGCCCCGCTCCGCTACAACAACAAGTAAGATAACATTACAGTTTTATTCCGAGTCCAATCATGTGTAACTCAGATGCGGTATCCTGGCGTGTAGTATGGATGGCTACTACCTGGAACATATGGAGACATAGAAATAGGTGTATCTTCGAAGGCCATCAATTTAGCCATGAAAATATCATAACAAATATAATGTCTTCTTGCTGGAGGTGGCTCTCAACACTTAAAAAAGACTTTAAGTACTCTTTCTTGCAGTGGTGCAGCAATCCTGGACCTTGCTTGTGCCCGGACAAAGTTTGAAGTGTTCACCAACTAGCTGGGTCAATTTGAACTTGTTAGAGTTATGGCTCTTCAAAACTATTTGTTGCTTCGGTATGGGAGGAGGGGTACAAACAAGCCATGACAAATATCAGCATATGGTGCAGGTGGCAGAATGAGGAGTGTCTTCGTCTCTACGTGGCAATCTGAGGCTCTATTATATGGTGGTTTGACATGTGCTCAAAATGACCCATATTCTTAACAAGTGGGGGTTTATGTTGCTTCTTCTTAATTGGGTGGTCCTTACTCTTTATAAAGACTATTGTAATTTAATATTTTCCTTGTTAATTGCTTCATATACCTAGTGTAAAAGGGTTCAGGTATCCCTTGTACCTGTGTATTCCAATAATATTAACTTTTTGCTGTAAAAAAAAAAAAAATATATATATATATATATATAAACAAAAAAATCCATCTTCCATCACATAACGTTGAAACATAAATATATATATGTATATATATGTATGTATATATATTTTAAAATTTCTTAAATTTAAAATAAAATTTATTTTTAGTTCCTTAAATTTAAAGTTGATTTTTTTTAATCATATAATTTCAATAATCTTTATTTAATTCTTATACTTAATTTTGTTTAAAGAATCTACAAATATTATTGTATAAAATCTATCTCTTAATTTTTATGTTAGTGAAAATATAATATTAAATCTAATTAATATTCTATAATTTTCTAAATTTGTCACTTTCAAATATATTATTAATTACTTAAAGAATTAAAATAAAATTTTAAAAAATTATAGAAGTTAAAAAATAATTTTAAATTTAAAATGACTAAAGATAAATTTAAGAGATTAAAAAATATATTTAAATTATAATTTAATATATAACATTTATTTTTAATGGATTGGATTCATATCATCATATGAAGTTGAAAGAGAACCCTGAACCAAAACAAAGGAGTTGAATATGGCAAAGGGGTAGCGATAGCCAAAATTTGTGAAAGCACACACATAAAATGATACGAGTGAAAAGCAAATTCTTATGCACAGGTCAAACTATTCAAATCTTATCCATATGAATAGGAGAACTAAGAAAATTGGATGCATGGGACCCCCTCAGCTACTTTCTTATATTTATGTTTGACGTACAGGTAAATAAAATATGTGCATAGAATGATTTATATTTATTGAATAAATATTTTTCATAATATATAATGTTAAAAAATTGAAGTCCAACATTTCTCAACAGTTAAAGAAAAAACTCTGATTTATTAATCATTTAAAAGTTAAAAGTGGCATTATTAATTACTCTCTTTAAACATATTCTTATTTTCAATTATTGCTTAAATTAAGATGCAGTAAAAAAAAAGATGGAAATTGAATAAAATACATATCCTATAGAAGAGATAAAAAAAAAATACACATGAAAATTAAGAAAATAATAACATAAACAAAATCATGCATTAATTTCCAAATATCTCATCATTTTTCAAATATTGAATAGTTTATTTATTTGTGTCATGGGGGTGATGCATGTCCCATTGTCCCTATAAACTATATCATGGTGTGTAACTTAGTATTATTATTAGAATAATGGTACCTGCAGAGAATCACCGACAATGACAAAGAAGGAGTTGTGATCAGGTGGCACAGAAACCCAAGTTTTATCTTTGAGACAAATTTGGAGACCAGAAGTGTTATTGGATCTAAGCAAGGAAATGATTTGTGGATCTGTGTGCTCACCAAAGCCAACCATGTTTTCACCGTTATCATCATTATTATTCAAACGGTTCTCTGGAGGACATGGAGGGTAATGGTTGAGCCTCATCACAGAGTCACTCTCTTTGTCCATCAAAAGCTTGCTCAACACATTCTTTTCCTCAATGTTCAATCCTTCAGCCATCAAATCAAGAATCTCACACCCCATCTTTCTCGCAGCACACATGTAATCACTCAGTGCACAGCTGCAGCCAGTTTAGAGACTAGCAACATTAGATTTTAAAAGTGTATTTTGATCTTTGGCACATAAATTTTTTTTATCACTAACAAAGTTGATTAATTAACGGACAGAATTTATATGTAGTATTATAGACGATGTCATTAATTTTTTCTGACTACAGTTAATTAAAATTGAAACTTTATCATCATAATAAATGATTATATAAAATATAGAGTTAATCACTAATATATTATGAGTGTAAATTTTTTTTTATACTGATAATTAATTATATTTTTTAATTATATCTTTTAATTATATTATGTCATTATTAAAAGTAGATGTGTTTACAGTGACATGACACAATTAAGAGATATAATTAGTTGTCAGTATAAAAAAATTTTACACGACTAAAATATAAATATATATTACCAAAAACTTTAATTAGTAAAGAATACTAATTATAATAGGTACTTAATTAGAATATTAATGTATCTAAATTTTGTTCATAAATAAATATAATAAGAGATACTTGAATTTAAGATCATAACAATAATAAAACTTATGCTAAATTATTTATCACTCTATGTTGTAATCGAACATATGTATGTTTATGGATAACACAAACTTTAGTTAAAGTGAGATTCCAAACTTCTTAAGGGTGTGTTTATTTCTTGAGACATATGTGAAAATGAAAATATTGTCTTTTTTATTTTTTTTTGTAAATACATGTTTTTTCATTCTCATATTTATTGGAAAGAAAATCAGTTTGTAAATAAATTAAATGATTTTGGATTAGAGCATAGTACTATTTATCGGGAAGAAGACTTTTTTTATTTTATTTAAAGATCATTGTGATTTGTTTTCCTTTTAATTTTTTATTTCTATATAAGTTTTTGTATGGTATGAGGTATCCTATGTTTCTAATTTTTTTTATATATATACTTTTTTAATTTTTTATATATATATACTTTTTGGTGTGCTGCATATGAATGTCTATTTCTATTTTTCTTTTTTATATACTTTTTGGTGTATGCAATAGTGTCAATCTTGTGGGGATCTTATGATGCTTAAATACTAAACTTTTAGTTAAAAAATACTCTCTTGTCTTTTATTTGTTTAATTTATTCTATAATTATTCTTTTATTATTAAATAATTTAATTTACTCTCTTAAAATTTCAAAACAATCAAATATATTCATTTCTATAGAGATTAACGATGCTAATTCTAATTCTTTATAGATGTAACACAATTAAAAATATGAAATGTGTTGTTATATGTAAAAGAGAAAAATGAATCGTATTACATTATTTCTAAAAATAAAAGTCCAAATCGAATATTTTAGCAACTGAGGGAATACAAACTAAACGCATTAAATAAAATATAGAACTAAATAATCACTTAAAACTAAGTTTAAAATGGTAATGAATTAAGAGAAGCATATTGTTTATTTAAACCTCAAGCAACATACCTAAACTTATCTAGGTTGTGGCCAAAAGCAGGTGAGAGTGTGGTGGAGTTACAATCTTGGTCATTGGTGAGATGAAGATATTCAACCCAACCCTCATCACCGTTGGTTCCAATTTTTTTGTTTCCATAGCCAAATGGATTAGGAGGTCCTGCTTTGTGTTTCTGATGGAGTGGTAGAGAGAAAAATTTGGTGGCTTCAGACTCCAACTCGTAGACAGTGTCCATGGGGACACCATGGTTGACAACCTTAAAAAACCCCAACTCCTCACAAGCCTTAACTATGATGTTCTTTGCTTCGGGTTTTGAGAGGTCCACCACTATGGGAAACGTGGTCGTTTTGCAGCTACTAATGTAGGAGGAGGAACATTGTTCCCATGTTGGTTTGGACAACATTTTTGAAACCATGTTGTAGTGAATTTGAAAGTGAAATGAAAGAGACTATAGTGATAAGGAGAAGAATTGTGAAAAGTGGTTTGGTTTCTTCTCTATTTATATGCAAACGTTAGTGGGATGGGAAGAGAATCGTGATAGACATGCATGCTTGGAATTGGATTGTTGAGTACAAAATACGACAGAAAACACCGCACCGTTTCTAAATTCAAAAGATTAAATTGAATTTTTTAATCATGAAGAAAATAATTGGACTAATTAATAAATAAAGAATGAGATATGAAAAATAACACGAGTAATTAAACCTAAATTTTAAATGGTGACGAATTAAGAGAATAGTGTTTAATGAGTTTTTCAAACATGAAATAACGTGCAGAAAGTTATCCATGTTTTGTCGAAAAGTAGGGGAAATCGAATTTTGCTTAAAAAAATGAGTTTGTATTTAGCGTAAAGTTAACATTTATATACATTATCGAAATAGAGCTCTAGTTTTGATTAAAAGAATTTAAGGATCATACGTAAAAATCTGAAACTAAGACTTTTTTCCTATTGCCGCTAAACGTCTAATCTTGAAATTGACACATTTTATGTGTGGAATAGATAATCGGATAATAATAATAATAATAATAATAATAATAATAATAATAATAATAATAATAATAACATTTTATTAATATTAATATTATTATTATTATTATTATTTCATGTTTTGAATTATCAACCTTTTTAAAATAGGATGACCATCACACTTTTGTAGAAAATAAGTCCAGTCATTAGCTACTTTAGGATGGGAGATTATTAATTATTCTTTACAGTTGTTTTTATAAGACTTAAATTAAAAAAAAATGTATAATTTTGATTTTTTTTTTTTATAAAAGTAAGTTTAAAATATTTCATGCATTAACTAGTTTCGTTTAAGAAATATGTAACACTGTACATATTAATAATTGTTATTTTATTAAATTATATGTTATTGTAGTTAGTTGATTTTGTAGAATTTTAAGGATTTAGGAATTTTAATGAGTTATATTGTTTAGATAGTTACTTTTGAATAGAGGTTAAGTTTATAAGTCCCGAAAAAGTATATAAGGTTTTCTTTAATGTTTAAGTTTCATAAATTCTTAAGAAAATTTAGAGAGAAAAATACTAGAATTCTGAAAAAATTTCTTTGTTTTTCCTAGCTTTTCTGAGAGTGTAGTAGATCTAATAGAGTTGTTGAGTAGACATTCAAGCTTGGAGAGCTTCCAATTAGAGACCTCGAAGGATTGGTATGAAGTTCTTTGGAGGGTCTTGACTTTCTTCTTCCTTCTCCTTTGTTCTCTTGGATTTTATAGGTAAGGAAAATTACAACTTGAATCTATTTTGGATTTATTTGAGTTGTATGTTGTTTCAATTCACGAAATCGTGGCTACGTAGATGATTTTGAGTTATTATTCTTGTGTTATGGGGTTTTGAGGTTCTTGAATATGTTGGGAAGATATTGATGAGTTGTGATCATTTCTTGATTACATGTTGTTATTTTGGTTGGAATTGAGTAAATTGTGTTGTGTAGGTGTGATTTTTGCCATTACATGTTGGAATTTTCTAATTTTCAGGTTAGTCAAATTTGTGATTGCCAAGTATAGAAATCATTATCGTGCCAATCACAACTTCAAGGCATTGGGTGTGATGCAGGCCAGAGGCTATCTCTACCTCATTGACGTCGAGTGTGGGATTGGTAGTGTGTAGCATGAGTTAGAGAAGAACTCTCCTGCTTGATCATGTTGGGCATGGGTTGAATGGCACCAAGCGTTGGTGCTTTTCACTACAAGAAAAATCAAGATTATTTACGGAAAAATCCGTAGAAAAACATAAAAATTATCTACGGATTATCTACGGAAAAAAATCCGTAGATAAAATGGTCGTAGATAATGTTATCTACGAAAAATTCCGTAGATAACGTTATCTACGCAACATTATCTACGGAATTTTCCGTAGATAAGGGTATCTACGGAATTTTCCGTAGATAAGGGTATCTACGGAATTTTCCGTAGATAAGGGTATCTACGGAATTTTCCGTAGATAAGGGTATCTACGGAATTTTCCGTAGATAAGGGTATCTACGGAATTTTCCGTAGATAAGGGTATCTACGGAATTTTCCGTAGATAAGGGTATCTACGGAATTTTCCGTAGATAAGGGTATCTACGGAATTTTCCGTAGATAAGGGTATCTACGGAATTTTCCGTAGATAAGGGTATCTACGGAATTTTCCGTAGATAAGGGTATCTACGGAATTTTCCGTAGATAAGGGTATCTACGGAATTTTCCGTAGATAAGGGTATCTACGGAATTTTCCGTAGATAAGGGTATCTACGGAATTTTCCGTAGATAAGGGTATCTACGGAATTTTCCGTAGATAAGGGTATCTACGGAATTTTCCGTAGATAAGGGTATCTACGGAATTTTCCGTAGATAAGGGTATCTACGGAATTTTCCGTAGATAAGGGTATCTACGGAATTTTCCGTAGATAAGGGTATCTACGGAATTTTCCGTAGATAAGGGTATCTACGGAATTTTCCGTAGATAAGGGTATCTACGGAATTTTCCGTAGATAAGGGTATCTACGGAATTTTCCGTAGATAAGGGTATCTACGGAATTTTCCGTAGATAAGGGTATCTACGGAATTTTCCGTAGATAAGGGTATCTACGGAATTTTCCGTAGATAAGGGTATCTACGGAATTTTCCGTAGATAAGGGTATCTACGGAATTTTCCGTAGATAAGGGTATCTACGGAATTTTCCGTAGATAAGGGTATCTACGGAATTTTCCGTAGATAAGGGTATCTACGGAATTTTCCGTAGATAAGGGTATCTACGGAATTTTCCGTAGATAAGGGTATCTACGGAATTTTCCGTAGATAAGGGTATCTACGGAATTTTCCGTAGATAAGGGTATCTACGGAATTTTCCGTAGATAAGGGTATCTACGGAATTTTCCGTAGATAAGGGTATCTACGGAATTTTCCGTAGATAAGGGTATCTACGGAATTTTCCGTAGATAAGGGTATCTACGGAATTTTCCGTAGATAAGGGTATCTACGGAATTTTCCGTAGATAAGGGTATCTACGGAATTTTCCGTAGATAAGGGTATCTACGGAATTTTCCGTAGATAAGGGTATCTACGGAATTTTCCGTAGATAAGGGTATCTACGGAATTTTCCGTAGATAAGGGTATCTACGGAATTTTCCGTAGATAAGGGTATCTACGGAATTTTCCGTAGATAAGGGTATCTACGGAATTTTCCGTAGATAAGGGTATCTACGGAATTTTCCGTAGATAAGGGTATCTACGGAATTTTCCGTAGATAAGGGTATCTACGGAATTTTCCGTAGATAAGGGTATCTACGGAATTTTCCGTAGATAAGGGTATCTACGGAATTTTCCGTAGATAAGGGTATCTACGGAATTTTCCGTAGATAAGGGTATCTACGGAATTTTCCGTAGATAAGGGTATCTACGGAATTTTCCGTAGATAAGGGTATCTACGGAATTTTCCGTAGATAAGGGTATCTACGGAATTTTCCGTAGATAAGGGTATCTACGGAATTTTCCGTAGATAAGGGTATCTACGGAATTTTCCGTAGATAAGGGTATCTACGGAATTTTCCGTAGATAAGGGTATCTACGGAATTTTCCGTAGATAAGGGTATCTACGGAATTTTCCGTAGATAAGGGTATCTACGGAATTTTCCGTAGATAAGGGTATCTACGGAATTTTCCGTAGATAAGGGTATCTACGGAATTTTCCGTAGATAAGGGTATCTACGGAATTTTCCGTAGATAAGGGTATCTACGGAATTTTCCGTAGATAAGGGTATCTACGGAATTTTCCGTAGATAAGGGTATCTACGGAATTTTCCGTAGATAAGGGTATCTACGGAATTTTCCGTAGATAAGGGTATCTACGGAATTTTCCGTAGATAAGGGTATCTACGGAATTTTCCGTAGATAAGGGTATCTACGGAATTTTCCGTAGATAAGGGTATCTACGGAATTTTCCGTAGATAAGGGTATCTACGGAATTTTCCGTAGATAAGGGTATCTACGGAATTTTTCGTAGATAACATTATCTACGGAAAAAAATTCGTAGATAATATTCCGTAGATAATAATGATTTTTCTTGTAGTGTTTGAAGCTTTCTGACTTGGGAATGTCGAGCCTTAGTTTAGTGGCACCAAGTGCGATCAAGACAAAAGCTTTCTTCCTAAACAATGTCGAATGCCAATGTTGTGACATCAAGTGAGTTAGGTAGAGGCTTTCTACCTAAAATAGGGTTGGGCGTGGGTTTGGCTACGCTAGGCATGATTGCCACATGAGCTCTCTGCCTCATTCACGTTGAACGCGAGTAGTTTGGCACTGGGCATGGGCGAGCCAAAAACTTTATGCCTCATTCATGCTAGGCTTGAGGAGAATGGCATTGGGCATGGGTTGCCTAATGAAAATATGTAAATGTTGAATGTGTATATGATTGTTGAATTTCTCACATGTTGTATGTTAATATATGATGATAATTCTTTATACATTGATTTAGGATGATGTATATTGGGGATTGAATTATTGGGAGTTGTAAGTTGAGTTGTATGCTGTAGTGTTAAGGTTGTTGTGTTGAGAATTCTTATGATGTTAGGGTACTTTGTGAGCTCAGTTGTTGAAAATCCTTTTTAAAAAATTGACACTTGAAGTAGATTGTTAAGTCTCCTTTAGGACCTTAGTTGATGCGATATAGGGGCCAGGTTGAGTCATATTGTCTATAAGTAATCACAATGTAAGGGTCAAGTCAAACTATACTAATTATAAAATGATCAATATAAATCTATATGGGGAAAGGTCGAGCCATGAGTGTACAAAGAATCCAAGTAGAGTAAGGTACAAGGTTGGGGGACAAAATTCCTAAGTATCGAAAGTGATGTAGTATTTGGAGAGTGGTCGACGGGCTAATGCCATAGAAGGCTTAGTTATGCATGCTAAGGTCATGGTAGGTCTACACCCAAGTTGTCCTACCTTAATAGAAATA